AAATTTTTCCTTTTCTTTTTCTCAATAGAGATTTGAACATTAATTCGCTGCGTTGTAAGGAACCAGTCCTTGCCCTAGATCAAACTCCATTGATAATTATGATATTTCTTTATCACACAAGGATTTGAATTCTTAGTCGCATGTTATGCATAACAAACATCCACACATATTTTGCTGACATAAAATCTTGGGGGAAAAACAGAGCACACATATATTAAAAGCATCAACTATCAATCAATCAACTTCTACAAATCGCGTAGAATCATCAACTATCTTCGACAAGTCGCGAAGAAGCAATAGGATTGGCTGAAAAAATCTATTCTCATTGGTTCCTATACTTTGGTCTACCGTTAATATCCCATCCTCATTGGCTCATATCATTAATTTTATTATGAAAATATTTGTTTACGCTTATAGAATTGTTTTTGTTTTCGCACTTTTCATCGTATATAAATTTATAAAGATGAATCTAATGGTTGGGTCCATTATAAATTCTCATTTCTGATCAAGGATACCTGGTTTAATTTGTCATTGTTTGTCATTTGTATTGTCAGTCCTTGCAACTAATACATTCTCTGAAGGAATGCTGTCCTCACCTTCTGAGTCTACTGGATCAAAGAAATTTTTTTCAATATTCAAGAATTGATGATGATGTTGAGCTTGCAACTCCTGAATTCCCCAACCTGCCAGAAATTAAGGCAAGAAACTTACTGATTTTTCAAATAAAAAAATCTACAGCCATCTATGATTAAATCTCAAATTTTAATGGCAGAATATATGTTTTGAGTCCATGTTTATTCCTTTGTCAGACTGACGTTTCAGGTCCTACCTATATTCCCAAGTCAAATATTCTTGCCCCGTCAATTGTGTGCATTTGAACAGCACTTCTGATTCCCACGTGTTCCCCATTCAAAACTGTTTAGTCAATTGCCTTTCTGAGTGAAATACTACTGCTATCTAATAGTTGAGTTCTTTCATGCATAAATGTAACAAGTACATGCATTCAGATCACCCTCTTTGATAGTTGTTATGCTCATAGTTTTCGTTCTATTTTGCCTGCCCATCTCAATGGCTTCAAAGCTGTCATTTGACGAATATGATTTTGTACAGAACGTCAGTGATTCTCAAGAAACTTGGTGCGTCGTCGTTAGAGCACTGAGGAAGTGGCATATCAAGCAAAATAACCCAACATACGCTACTTGGAACATTTCCTTTCTTCTCATTGATGAAAAGGTAAATATCTCAGCATACTCATGCATTAATCTTTTGACATATCAGCACTCACTCATCTTTTCAATTCCTCGGCGTAGGGGATCCAGATTCAAGCTTTCATCCAGACCAAAAGTCAAGTCCAATAATTTGAAACAAAACCCGCAGAAGGAAAGGTTTACTTCATTGAAAACTTTGAAGTGCTCCCTAATGCTGATAACTTCAAGGCAACTTCTCACCCTTGGAAGATTAACTTCCATGCAAATACCTTTGTCAAGACACATGAAGCTAATATCATTTCAACTGCATTCAATTTTTACCCTATTAAAGATATAATCAGTAAGGCAGATTTCAAAAAGAACGAGATTGACATTGATCATTTAGTAGGTATGTAAGCAATATCTTCCTCTGACTTACATTTCATATTATTTCTTTTAGTTCTTATACAGTCTATTCCTGTTTTCTGGACAGACGTAATAGGATTCATGCAAGGGTTTGGCTCTTATATTTTTAGAAAAATTTAAAGCTTATGCAGATAAAAACACTGATGTCTCTTACATTTTCCAGGGAGAGGTCTATGAGGCCTTTGCTATGAGAGTGCATACAATGCTTTAAATGCAAAGAGTCCTGATATGAAACCTCCTTTCATTTTTGTTGTTCAACTATGCGCTGTTGGCTTCTATAAAAGTAAATTAAGTCCATCCTTACTGTTTGCAGAAGACTTCCCGCATGATTTTGCAAGCTATATGTTTGTCTGTGCTTTTTTTTCCAGACAATCTTCAGCTCTCTAACTATGGATTAACAGCAAGAGTCCTTTTCAATCCTTCAATCAATGAAGTTCAACAGCTTCATGAAATGTATTACCTTCCCTTCATTAGATATTGTATAGTTGATGACTAATGTTATAGTTTCCATGAAGCAAATTCATATAATGCCTAAAATAGTTTGTAGTATCCTTATTAATCAACCATCTACCTGATAATGAAAATGGAGTTCAACATCATTTTCACAAAAAAAAAAAAAACGTTAATGTAGTAGGCCATTGCAACTTCTTTTAAAATGATCAACAACTTCATCATTTTCAAATGGGAGAATTACATGTTAGTGATATGGAGGTATACCAAGAACTGCTTGAATCATGTTGAAGGATATTGTCCTTCAGAACTATTATGGCACATCGAAACGACGGACCGACAGTTTTCTAAGATGAAACATCAATTAAGTCAAGATGTAAGCCACTTCAACTTCATTTCATCATATACTACTAATGCCTGTATCTTGTAGGGCTGTTAAAGTATGCTGCTTCTGTTGTTCTTTGCAGTCTTGTTGAAACATCAATTAAGTCAAGATGAGTTCAAACGGTAATATCATCAATACTTAGTAGTATTCCTCCAAACGATAATATCTTCCTCGTCGATATGTAATGACATGTCCATCTCAAATAACACCTCAAGAGGGAAACAGAATTTGACCAAATTAAGCTATCCAATCTCCAAACTCAATGATACATTTTCATATTAATTCCTCTTTATTTGACAGTTCAAATTTTTCCTCTCTAAATTTTTAGGCACTTTATAGCTATCAGAAGTAACATTATAGAACTGCATTTCTGAAACATTTCAATGATTGAAATTCTGCTTGTGACTATTTCTGTCAAGCCGGAAGGGGAGTTCATGGAATTAATGTAGTTTTAATCAATTGAAGAAGGTAACTTTAAATGTCAAATGAGATTATCTAAGGTAAAAGATAGCTAAAATAAGACAGCTAAAAGAGCGCTCAGTTTAAATGATCCAAGTGATTCCATACTACTATCATCTATAAGCTTTTTCTGTAGTGTTTTTTTAATAGAAATTGCAATTCACAACTGATCCTAAATGACAAATTTAAGTAAAAGTAACTAAAAAAATTGTCTATGCTGATAATGGTTCTATATACTTGTTTAACTCTATTCATCATCATCTACATAAAAGAGTATTGAAAAAATTTCTTCCTTTGCGAATAAATATCTGTCAGGCATATGCAGATTCTTATTTAAAATATAATTTTTTTATAGGTCATCAATCAAAAATTAAACAATTTATCCAAGTGATGCCAGTAGAAAACTTAGATGTTTCTATGAATCCTTCCCCCCAAACAGATGCTACTATAATATCATGCAAGATTCCAAATAATTGCATCGTTCAAGTAAAGAGCAGAGTAGTTAACAAAAAAGCTTTGACAGAACTTACATTCGGTATATTTTATTATATAGTTTTACTTCTTATTTTTCTTTCTGAAGTTGCAATTTTTATTATACTTTAACTAGAAAAACTACATGTAATGACAGGAAATGACCATAACATACCAAGAGCTAAGAAGTTAATTACTTCAGGGATAAAGAGAAATTCAAATCTTAGTAATAATAATTGTAATGTGTGCACTATCTAATTGTTGTGCCCCAATCGATTGTTAAAACATATGGAATAGCTATTGCAAATGAAATATTTGAACAAAAAAAAAACACACTATATTTGAAGGAAATATGAAACGCCTCTTTTAAAAAAGGGTTAATATACAATTTAAATTTTGAACTATAAGTCTGGGATTGATTTAAACTCTAAAATTTTAAAAAATATATTTTAAATCCTAAACAATTAAAGTTAGAATAATTTCATCCTACTATTAATTTTAAATAAATATTCATCAAAATGGGGCCTAATGTATGATTTTTCTCAAATGAGGGTAGGAAATTTGATGAAAATCACTATTTTAAAAAATTAATAGACATTTGTTGAAACTTAATAATGAGGGTGAAATTGTTCCAAGTTTAATTATTCAGAATTTAAAATATACCTTTCAAAAGTTTTGAGTTCAAATAGCTTCTAAACCTATAATTTATTGTTCAAATTGTTTATTAACTTTTTAAAAAATGTACTCATTACTTTTTTTAATTTCTTGATGCTTAAAGCTGTATAATATAATATATCATTTATTACTAAATGAAACAAAATTAAATGCATAACTTATCATATTTCAAGTTAGAGAAAACATAATCATCAATTATTATAAGGATTAAGAATACTGAAAAAATAAAACTATAGAAACTTTAAAAATAAATATCACCCAATCTTTCTGATATTATAGAGACTGAAAATACTTAAAAAAAAATATAAGAATTAAAAGCAAAACTTGATAAAACTATAAAAATTGATAACTATGTTTTTCCCTTTAAGTTATGAATAAAAAAATAAAATTATTATAATTAAATTTAATTTACATCTGCGCAATATTTTTATCCATCTTTCCATTACAAATTCAATGTTCAATTGTTATAATTTTAATTTTTTAAAAAATTAATTAATTTAAAAACAACCAAGAAGATAGTTTCACTTTGTGAAAGAAGACCTAAGTCATCCTTTTATTGATGAGCAGCAAAAAATTGGCAGATGGAAGTTTTTTAACTCATGTATATTTTTGTCAGATCATTTTGAATAAAAAATCTTATTCAACAATGCCTGAAAACAATGACTTTATTTTTTTTTCCTTAATTTCAAAATCGTGCAAGGCACGGGATTAAATCTAGCTTTTCTGAAATCGACATCGGAAATGTTTTGCTAAGCCAAAATTGAAGTTTCAATGAAGTGAAGGTCCACGGCCTTTTCCGTACCGGAAGTTGGACTCGCAAGTCATAACATTTTTCCACAAATCTGAAAGCATCATGGACTCGAATTAGATTCACAGCATCTTCGTTTACAGAACACAGGAGCGGTGACGTTTGTTTCCATCTCAATCTCATACAGTCATACTCTATATTTTTATTTATAATTATAATTATAAAATTATTATTAGAATCCAGTGGCATCGAAGGATATAATTAAAATAATGCGTCCTCGAAAAGCAAGATCGAAAGAAACGGTGCACACCGCTGTCGAGAATAGCCGTGCTCTCTGTTTTCTCGGCCTCGCTGAGAAAAAGAAAAACAGTGACGAGAAAACCTGAGAAAGCTTCAATCTTCATTAATATTCATATATCTTTGGGAATGCTTTCCCTCCCATGCAGCTTCAAGCTTCATCATCATCAGCCGCCTCGCCGCCACAACCCTGACATGAATCCACGCCCATGCGTCTCCCTCGCCGCCGCCTTCATATGCATTCTGCAGTTTCTGTTCCCGGCGGCGATGTCCCAGCCCCAAAACATGAGAACAAAACAATACGTCTTCGGCCCCTTCGACGTCTCTTATTACGAAACCTTGAAGGTCATTCAACCGGCATCGATCAACTTCGGAGCCCTACAAGTAACTCCGGACACCGCTGGTAACATCAACCTCACAGACACCTCCGGTCGAATCCTCTTCCGGCAGCCCTTCAAACTCTGGGAAGACGACGGAAAGATTGCTTCCTTCAATACTTCCTTCCTCATCAACGTCTTTCGCGTCAACAACGCCACTCCCGGAGAAGGCGTCGCCTTCGCCATTTCCCCATCCCTCGACCTTCCCCGGAACAGCCACGGCCAGTACCTCGGCCTTACCAACTCCACCACCGATGGCAATCCCGACAACCACATCGTCGCAGTCGAACTGGACACCGTCAAGCAGGAGTTCGACCCCGACGACAACCACATCGGACTCAACATCAACAGCGTCAAATCTAAAACCAATGTGTCCCTGTCTCAATTCGGAATCCAGATCGCTCCAGACGGCGCCAAATACTATGTTATCTGGATAGACTACAACGGTTCGAGCAAGAAAATCAACGTATTCATCACAGAACAACCTGACAGAAACGCTCCCATAGTATCAAAACCCAAAGAACCAGTGTTGACTTCAGATCTGGATCTCAGAAACATCGTGAAACAGAGCTCTTACTTCGGGTTCTCTGCTTCCACAGGAACAACCTACCAGCTGAACTGTGTTCTGAGATGGAACATGACAGTGGAGGTTCTTTCGGAAAACAAGAACAAGACGCGATCTTTGAGGATCAGTCTGGGTATTGGGGTGCCATTGATGAGTTTGATTGTTGTAGGGATCGGTGGGTGGGTGTATTGTGTGTACAGAAAGAAGAGAAGAAGAAGGCTGGATGACGAACAGATACTGGGGACGCTGAAGAGCTTGCCGGGAACGCCGAGAGAATACTCGTTCAAGGAATTGAAGAAGGCGACGAATAATTTCAGCGAGAAGAACAAGCTCGGAGAAGGAGGGTTTGGGATGGTGTACAGAGGGATCTTGCAGAAAGAGAATAACATGGAAGTGGCAGTGAAGAAATTCTGCAGAGACAAGATGAAATGCAAAGATGATTTCTTGGCTGAACTCACCATCATCAATCGTCTTCGTCACAAGCATCTTGTTCGCTTACTAGGTAATTTCATTTTCGCCCACAGTAAATTCTGTCTGTCTTTCTGTTGCTTTTGTTGAATGATTTAATTCCTTATCCTCAGTCTGAATGATGAATCTATCTGAAACTAGGAATAGATATATCAAATCAGATCAACACATTTAAACTGAGGAAAATCTAGCACATTTAGAGCATATCAGTAATGTCGTCTCTTTGTTCTGTTCTGCGTTGTTGTCTATAATTCAGACATCAGACCAAGATATGCTATAGTTTTTTTTTTTTTTTTTCTTTTTTCCGCCAGAAGATATGTTATAGTTGTTGGTTGAATGAGTAGATAATTTGTTTCAGGGATTTAGAAAATCTTAAAAACGTAAGAAATATTTGCAGATTATTTATTTATTTGTTTTGAATTGGATCTAAATGGGCATCAAGGCAAGCTTCAATAATCAATATATTGCACACACACCCCAACAAACAACCTTATCCGAATTATAAATTATAAAGACAGAATAAATTGAATAAGTCTTCTTTTTTATTTAATTTTTACATGTGTGTAAGTTGACTAAAAAAAGGCATTAATTAGCCATTAGATATGTAAATCCTTTACATATGTATTGTTAGATCATTTTAAATTTATTAAAGTAAAATTTCTTCCTTCTTTTTTTCATATTTCAACCTAATAACTAAAGGAAAAATAAAAATAAAATGCTCATAAAATATATAAATGATAATTTGATCTCTTAAAATGTTATAATTTTTCAGAAGTCCTTAAAGACTTTTCTGTTATTAATGATTTATATAAATTATTAAATAACCTTTGTTGAAAATAAATAATTCACAAATTTTATTTAAATATTCACAATTTTCTTTCTTATAATCGCAACAATGCAATAGTAAATAAAAAATTTAATATGCAAAGTTGTGATTTGTTGTTGTATTGTTAAGAAAATAACAAGAAAAGCTATGAATATTTAAAAAAAACTTGTGGATCATTTATTTTCAATAAAGGCAATTTCATAATTTATATAAATTCATTAATGATAGAAAAATCCCTAAAAACTTCTAGAAAATTATGACATTTTGAGATACTAAATTATCATTTATATATTTTAAAGAAATTTTATTGTCATTTTCCAATAACTAAATGCTTACCCAAAAAAAAAATCTGAAAATGAAGAGTTTTGGAAGGGTTTGATCCACACCATAACCAATAGTGCTATTTTCATATTTTGGTTCTCTTCTTTATTTTATTTTCTTTTTTTAGTAGCTTCTTAATTTTTAAAGTAGAATATTATTTTAAAAAAAATAGGGAAACCATGAAAAAAGAAACACGCAACTTCATCCAGTTCACCAAATTTAAACTTACAGGTGATCTTGAAACACGGAATTAACTTAGCTGGAAGCCACAAAAAAAAATCTTCCCAATGTTCACTTTTTGTCTATCTGAAAGAGATTTCCTTTGTCACTTAAATGTGAAAAATATAAAAAAAGAACTTGTATACAAATATGCAAGTCTATTGTAATTAAGGCCAAAAAAAAAAAAACAAAGCCATGCCAATCTTATTACCTTGTTTATTATCTTCTTACAAGGCCAATGATCATATATATGTAGTTTTTATTAGTTAGAGTTATAGTTTCCAAGTCAAATGATTCTTTTTTAAAATGCGTATAAAATAAGTCTATTTTATATTCTTATGTACAAGACTGATATAAAAATAAGAGATAAGCTTGGCCTATTTTTCTCCAGTAGTTTAAAACCATATAATAAAAAGTTGCATGGTAGCATGATAATGTATGCTTTTTTATATTATCTCGTGCCAAATAAATTAAAGTACTTAGCAATTTATTGAACACATGTCACAGTCGTGGTCAATTATTGTAGTTTTTTTGTTATTTGGTTGTTGATATCATACATTTGTGCTGGCCAGAACGTGCTTTCTGGTCCCTTGATTTCAAAGCTTTCAACTTTTTCTCAGTTTATATTATAAAATGTCCTGTTTTTTTTTTTCTAACATCTAACCACTAGAGAAGGATTCCTATTAAAAAAAACTAAAGAAAAAAAAAAAGAAAGAAAGAAAGCAACTGATAAAGAAGGATTACTATTAGCGTGCGTTCTCCATGATTGAGATTTTTTTGTCGAAGATTCTTAGTTCAAGCTTTTGAAAATTCAACTCGGTGCTTTTATGATGGGAGAAAAATATAAATATTTGATATTATATACTAAATATATTTTTGTCTAATTAAATAAATCAGAATAACTTATTTTTAAGGCATTAATAATATTAAAAATAAGAGTTTGTTATGTTAGAAATAAACACTTAAAGTATAGCAGAAGGTTAATAAATAAAGTTTTTTCTTATATAGAATATTGTTATAAAGAGAACCCAAAAAGAGGATGATAAATTAAAGAGGAGAAACCGGATAAACAAATTCTGTTTCCATCTTATGATTGTAAAGAACTTGATTAATTTTACTGAAGTATGAGTGAACTAATACGTTAGTTTTGAATTGTAGACCTAATTAATTTCCATCCACAAATTTTTAGAAGACGGGTTAAGGAGAGATTAGAAGTTAAATTATTCAGACGCTCCACTTCAAGTTAAGAGCATATAATTTGATAATATGGTGCAGGGTGGTGCCACAAGAATGGTGTGTTAGTGTTAGTGTACGAGTTCATGCCCAATGGCAGCTTAGATAATCACCTTTTCTTTGAGGAAGCTAAATCCACAACCCCTCTCAGTTGGCACCTCCGTTACAAAATTATCTCCGGAGTAGCCTCGGCACTTAACTACCTTCACAACGAGTACGATCAAAAAGTGGTTCACAGAGATCTCAAAGCCAGCAACATCATGCTCGACTCTGACTTCAACGCTCGCCTCGGCGATTTCGGCCTGGCTCGAGCCATTGAGCACGAGAAAACATCGTACGCCGAGGTTGAAGGCATCCACGGCACGATGGGGTACATCGCGCCGGAGTGCTTCCACACGGGCAAGGCCACACGACAGTCTGATGTGTTCAGCTTTGGAGCGGTTCTTCTCGAAGTGGTGTGTGGCGAGAGGCCATGGACGAAGAAGGAAGGCTTTCAGTTGTTGGTGGATTGGGTTTGGTATTTGTATGGCGAAGGCAGGATTCTTGAGGCAGTGGACGAAAGGCTTGGGAATGAGTACGACGTTGAAGAAGCTGAGAAAATATTGAAACTAGGGTTAGCTTGTTCTCATCCTATTGCTAGTGAGAGGCCGAAGATGCAGAGTATAGTGCAGATTCTAAGCGGGGCTGTTCCTGTGCCTTACGTGGCTCCGTGCAAGCCTGCTTTTATTTGGCCTGCTGTGGATTTTGGAAGCTTCCTCAGTGATCTCACAACACCATCTTCTGCCACTGTAAACACACCGTTTCACACAGATTCAGACCCTCTACATTTATCAAAGTGAATGTGTCTGTGACATAATTTGAAAAGAGATGATGATGGGTATAGTGATTGAGATGTGAGCTTATTATAGACAGTTACATTGTTTTGTGCTATTCTCTTCGGATATATAAATGTATAAATGTGGAGGATCTAATGTTCTGCTTACATATACAGTCTCACGAGTGTGTTGATGATCAATTTTCTCTTGTGGATTCATGATAGGTCGTCTCTAATTATTTGAGGTTCAGTGACATCTTGTATCTTTTTAGACAGTAGATTCTTCATGTCTTGGGAAAGAAAGAAATGGATTACTTTGGTGTCTGAAATACTCTGATTGAAAATGTTGTTCTGTTTTTGGTCCTAGGATTTATTCCAACTTGAAGTTGTGATCTTAAGTAAGTATTTGAGTTTTTTTTTTTTTTTTTCAAGGTGATCGATAACTATTAGTATGCGGTTATTGCTTGTTCGTATTAAATTACTAAAAACTTCATAACGATAGTGAGTAATGATGACGATAAGTGAAACATAAATAGAAATGGATAAACATTGAAGATTATGAAATCTTTGGTATAAATGTAAGATGTGAAAAGCGGTTTAACATAATTTGTAACGTATATGTTCAATGAAAGAAGCCAGTTGGAGAGAGAGATTTGAATTAGCATCTTTCTCGAATCCCTGGGAGCGGTTTCAATGATTCATATATAATTAGATTTTATACCCGTGCAATGTATGAAAATCTTAATCCTCATTTTCATTTAAAGTAAATAAAAAAGGAACGATAATATTTTAATGAGTTTTTTTTTTAAAAAAAAATAGAATGTTATAAAATTTTATTTGAGATGTAAAATTTTCTAACCACAATTCTCTCTCAAAAATTGAAGTCACCAAAATCTTTGATCCAAACAAATTATAAAAATTAATAGAAGTTAAATCATGAGTAAATATTAATTTGATAATTTTATAAAAATAATAGTTTGTAGAAAGTGTGAAATAAAATTTTATATGTGATTATAGATAAATATATAATAATAAAAATTAACAATATGTTTTTATTTCCCCAGCATATTTGTGATTAAAAAATATAAATAAATAATAACTTGTTTTTTTATAAAATTTATTATCCCATATATAAACAAATATATAGTATGCGAGAATTCAAGTATGTTTTGCTGAATTCGATACGTCATAGACTAATAGGTCTCAGGCAATTTAAGAGTTCGGGGAGTCTCAAATCATATATATATACACACACACACACACACACACATATTACAGAAATGCTGGGCTAGCGCAAGGATTTTGTACATTTCATGCATCGGCTTGAACCCTAAATTTCGATTATCATTTCACAAAAGAAATGCTAGGTGGAAGTCTCAGAAAAGTTGAGTGTATACGAACACAGACAGCATAACTTAATATGTGTTTGATTTTTAATTTATTAAAAGTTCATGTGGCAAAAAAATTTTATTGTAACAAAATTTTATGTTTAAATATAATTTTTTAAAAGTCAGTTTGATACATTAAAAATTTTTAAATTATGATAATAAAATGTATTTTTAAATGTAGAATTATAAAAAAAATTGTGATAATTTATAATTTTTATCATACAAATGTATTATATTAGAAATGTTTATAAAATTTTGATAGAATAAAATGTATTTAACAAATTTTTGACTTTACCCTTATTAAATACTCCTTTATTAAAAATATAAGACATTTTTAACTGAATCTCACCTCTAATAAAGTAGTTGCCTACTTTTTAACTACTCCTATTTTTTCATATTTAATCCTATTAAATACCTATAATAAATATAAAGTCATTATCAATGGGGGCACTTTAAAAAAAAAGGCAATGATTATACCTCAAAAGATTAAAAATGTCTTACATTTTTGAACATACAACTCTTCAAAAATGCCTCACATTTTTGAACGGAGGGAGTATATATATTTAAAAAATAAAATATTCTAATGTTTAATAACTTTCTCAATATTTAATGAAAATAAAAGGGTAGAGAGGGATATAATAATTATTGAAATGTCCTATAAATATAACTAAAATAAATACTCTCTATTTTATAAATAACACCAAAGCTTCATAAATAAGGGCTTTTAAAAAGCTTTTAAATTGCACATTCCAAAATTCACTTTTAAGTGAGTTACCAAAGTTCTTTTGTAATGTCAATTTGTGCCAAATATAATTACCTAAACAATATTTGGCATTTGAAAAGTTGAAAAGGGCTTTTAAAAAGTAGAGAGTAACAAATCCAAAAGCACCCCTGAACTTTTTTTCTTTAGATTATTAACTCAATTTCTGAATCCAACTAAGTTGGAAATTAAAATTCATGAAATAAATGAATAATTGAGAGAAAGTTCGGTGACAAATATTTCTCCTATTTCAGATTTGTATGATAGCACTGAAACTAGAAAATTATGAAGAAAATATTGGACTTGCTTACCGCATTATAGTACTAGCAGTTTCACTGGCAGGGGAAAAATTATATTTGTCAAAAAATAAATGAATAAATACGTATATTTGGTCAAAATCATACGTAGGATAAATGAATGAATGAATGAACATAAATATTTTTAGGATCTATATTATATTGTATGGATATATAACTTCAAAATCCATTCAAGTTCTGTGAATATTTTTAAGATTTATTTTATATTGTATGTGAATATTTTTAATATCTGCCTTATATTTTTATGTAAATAATTTCAGAATTTACTCTATATTATGTGTAAAACTTCAAAATTCATTCTATGTTACACGTGGATAATTTTTAGATTCACTATTCTAAGATTAAACTGTGCCTATACTTCTAGATGTGACACAATATGTAATTATTTGATTAATCAAGGGAGAAAGAAAATAATTGAACATAAAAATATTCAAGAAATAAATAACAGACAACAAAAATGTATGGATGATAGAAGTTTGCTATCTGAGTGTACCTCCATCTCTATTAATGTTCATTGACATGAGCATTAATCTCTAATCTAATAATTATAAGGGCACTCACCTAAGGGTGCCAAAAATAAAGTAATTGTGATGATAACATATTATAAAAATAGAGATTGGGAGGAAAAAGAAAAGAAAAATATAATGAAAAAAATTGAGAACTTTCTCATTTTAATATGTAAAATTCAACTAAATGCCTCTATTTATAAATACAAATATATGAATTAAATTAAATTAAATATACAAGATAATAATATTGAAAGATAGTATGATAACCAAAAGATATTAAAGAATCTAAAATAATGGACATCAATATAATATCATAATATTTATAACAATATTTATTGTACTCTTATAATCATTACTCCATATATTATATATGAAAAAGTCCTCCAGTTGACTTCCATCAATTGTTTCATTTTATTTTACATGTCAAATGAAAATGCCGTGTGATAGAGTCTTACAGTAACATTTTGTTACAAATATCACAATCCTAAAAGCAGCACAAGTAGGCCGAAGAATCTGAGAATGGAGACACAGACAGAGGAATCCCCCCCCCCCCTCTCTGTAAGATGATTTTACAAACTTGGGCAAAAGAAAATGATCACATTTAAAGTAGAATAGCGTATACATTCATATGTGCAATGAGATAAGGATTAACAATATATACAACCATCATATATAGCCTATCCTAACTGCGTATTTTGCAAAGCAATACACCATTGCAATTAACAATACAGCGCAGAAGGGGAAAAAAAAAAATTCAATGTCACCGTTGAATTCGATCACCAAAAGATTTGAACTCCTGAATCTTGTAGGATTGGTTCCTGTTTGTTTACGTGAAGCCTCTCACAGAATCTGAGTCCCTACATGGAATGCCGGCCATCTGACCTCTCTTTCGTTGGCCTTTCCTCCTGAATTTCTTCCAACTCTTCTTCATCACCCCTTCTCCCTGCCTGCTCCTTCCAGTAGGCAACCAACTTCTTTAATCGAGCCACCTCTTTTGACGAAACATTTTTGCTCGGATCATTCACAATTGATCTCACTCGTGACGCGTACCTGAATATCCACAAGAGTATAAAACAAAACTCAGCATGAAGCCCGTGTGCAGGGGGAAAAACATATGAAAAAGATCTAAGAACATACATAAGAGAGTTGTGTGTCTCGTCCAAGTTTGATTCAGCTGGGGATACATTCACGAACATGAGAGTCTTAGCATTACCACCAAGTGAGTCACTCATTAGCATAGTTAATTTGTGATTCCTGTAAGGTGTATGTTGACCACCAGAAGATAAAGCACTGATCACATCCCCAAGAGCTGATAATGATTTGTTGATGCTTTGAGCTTCTTTAAGTTGATTCCCTGAGGAACCAGACTTTTTGATCCTTTCTGAACCAGCAAGATCTACAAAACTTAGCTGCGTATTGAATCCAATATAAATTATAATGCATCCACTATTCGTATATAGGAATTCAGTCTTAATTACATGAAATTACAAGTCAAAAACAGGCATGCATTAGAGTTAATAAAAAAAAAAAAAACGTTCAGAAAGATACCTTTCCTCTTGCAACTGATTGAGTTTGAAGGTTGGTGCTTTCAATTACAACTGACAATATCAGATGGGATCTTGAGCTTTCTTCGTTCATCTGAGTTCCAGATGTATGCCGTTGCTCAGATCCTCTTTGTATTATGCTATTCAATTCCTCCATAGTGGAAATTGGCACCACTGTTACATTTTCAACAACTACCATGCCCTAATATAAAATAAAACAAACCACACAATATCAGACAACCAAAAACCAACAAATCGCTTTGTCATAATTGCTAGAAAAATATGAATAAACAATATAACAATTTGAAAAAAAAAAACATAATTTAAGCACATAAAATATTAGTAAATTTCTAGCTCGTATATTGCAATTACAGCATATTAATTAATTATCCCGCCTTTGTATCGTCAGCATATTAATTATCCCAAAAACATTTTGGATTCTTATACGTAAGAGAACTATAGATGTTTTACATGTAGAAATTCCCAATGGTTGGGCAGAGAATGTCACCTTTGAATCCTTCTTGATATCTAATTTTAAACGCTTTGCATTCTTAGGCAACAAAAGATCTACAAGTGTATCTTGATATAGCTCCACCATGTATGCCTGCAATATTTGATACATGAGAAGTCCTTCTAAGATATGCTGCATTTTGCAAAGTTCTTCAACTACTTTGCAGAAGGTAAATAAAGCTATGATCAATTACTTAAGTGATATCTAATTTATTGACTGTATACATTAAAAAAGTTTTAAAGAAGCAATTAAATTGTATAAATCATCTTTTTCGAACTATTACCTTTAAAGAAAAAGAATATTTATTACTCTCTCTCCTTAAAATTTTGAAAAGCTCAGCAGTAGCACGCGGGGTAAGCCCAGGGTTGTTGTCAGTTCCATAAATTGTGTATGTTTTTCCAGAACCAGTTTGGCCATAAGCAAATATGCAGACATTATAACCATCTACAGCAGACTGAACCAGATACTGCATGGAATATCACCAAAAGAAAAGTTTTAGTAATAAGTACTGCATAAATTATCCAAGGCAAGAGAAGTCTATAATCTTATGGCTGATATAACGAGACTTACTCTTGTATCCTCAAATACATCTTCTTGAGTAGCATCGTCATCAAATACACGGTCATACACAAACTGCTTTGGTTTATCATCCTTCCATGGATGTTCAACAGTAAACTCATCTATGCTAGTCAGAACATCTCTTTCTTTTTCATTAATCTCTTTTTCGCTAAGAGGCCTGCAACGGCAGTAAACTCTTATCTTGCCTTTCATATCTGAAATAAAAATCAAATATTGTAAATATGCCATTGAAATGTTATATACACTATCGTGTAGATATATACTTTTTGTTGCCCACCTTCTATTGTGTTGAAATAGCGCTTTCGTAGAACTTGCTCTTCCTTATAAAGCGCTTCCATTTCAGCTAATTGAGCCCCTTGCATCCTTAAAATGGCAGCTGTTTGTTCATTCTTCCTATCAATGTCCTTAACAAAGAAAACAGAAACTTTAAAACACGAGCCCAACAACTGTGTTGTCACACAATTTGGACTACTCAATTATTGACAGTGTATCAAAACCTCTTTCATTTCTCTTAGTTCTTCCAGTTCCCTTGAATTATTCTGCAATGCAACCAACTCGGCATCCTTGGCTGAAAGAGTGGATTCAGCAGCAGCTAATTCTTGTCTGAATCCTCCTAGCTTCTTTTCAAGGACATCCACATGAGATTTTAAGGCTTTGCGTTCTTGCTCAAATCTTTGTTCAAGAACACTAATCTGCATTCAGCAAACACCTTGAATGTTGATTCAGCATCATCTAAAAATAGTGGGTTTTAAATTGAAGAAATGTGTTTAAATGTTTTATATTACCTCATCACCATTCCTCTTCTCAAGTTCTGATAGTTTCCGTGCCAAAATCAATTTTTCATTCGTCAATCTCGTAATAGTTTCTTCTGCCGCAAGCAGCTCATCTTTATGAACTTTTAGCTCATTTTCAAGCCTACGCAAACCCTATTTATCAAAGTGAAAGCAGCCATATTAACCAGATATTACCTTACACATGAATAACAACACTTTCGAAAGTATCTTGCCTGTTTATTTGCTTCAACAGGCTCTTTTTTTGCATTCTCTAGCACCAGATTATTCAACTTGGTCAATCTTGTTTCCATATTCCTTTTCTCCAGCATTGCAACCTAGTAGATTCCATAATCCGTAAGACAACATATTGCAAAAGTGAAATTGGATCAGTTTAGCAAGTTAAGAAATTTACCTGAATAGCCTTATCCTTCTCATTGCACATTGATCTAAGCCTATCACATTCACAAGTAACTTCCTTGAGACTTTGTTTATCAGCATTTAAGGATTCCTTCAAGGTCTCCAATTCTTCTTGCATTTTCCCTTCTTGCTTTTGTTTTTCCCGCAATTCTTCCAGCAACTATTCAGCATAGTTTAAAATCTTAAAACATTTAGCTGACAATTCATACAAGACACCTTAATTTGAATGAAAATGATGTTATGCCAATTTTTTTTTTTTTTGGAATGACAAATTATTAGTACGATGTTTTGTACTAAACGTGCTTTTGTCAAAGCTTTATGCATCTAATAGACCATGTCCACATAGATAGTTTAAGCAAGAAGAGGCTTCGTTCACAACTAATGCCAAAGTTCAACTTTGGTTCCTCGGCTCTCTAGTGGAAAGCAAAAGTGGATATGATGGTTGACCTCTAGGGGTTCATTTTACCATGCAATGATCCAAAAAAATGTACTCTAGGTAACTAGGCATAACAACTCATTTTGGTGATTGTTGTCCAACCAGCTTAACATCCTACAGTAGATACTAGAAGCCTGGTGGCATACTTTATCAGCATTTCTTTGAGATTCTTCAACAGCTTTTGACAGATCTTGAACACGTCTTTCATATATTTCCAAAGTGGGACTCTTAAAATTGTTGCCAACATCTCCATTTACAGAACCACCAGCAGCAGACCTTGCTTTGGAATATCGGCGCAACATCACATCATTGATATGTGTCTGAAGAGCTACACAAATTTCTTCCCCCTATAAATAAAAAGAAATTGTCAGTAAGGCAAAAAGAAGCACATGTAGAATGTTAATCAAGCACAAAACTAAGTGCTTACTACCCATGATGATATTTATACCTGCTTTGTTTCAAACTGGAATATGTGTAGAACACCTGCAACTCGCATTTTGAAAAATACTGCTGTATTGCTACTTCCAAACTGCATTATGTCTCTTAACTCAGCCGAGTGAAGATATTCCTTTGGAACAGGACGGAAAAAGTGAACCTACAATTGAACGAAAAAACATAAATAAAAAAGCACACTTTATTACTAAACACACAAAAGTTGTATGCATATCTAAGTTTACCCCTCTTTTGTTAATGCCCAATATTATTCTTCCGGGAAGAAGTCCAATAGGATCATCAATCTTGCGAACATGAAAGAAAACGGAATTGCCATAAGGAAGTGCTCTTAATATACGAAGGAATTGTTGCCTTGCCTCATCTTTTGTTAAATGTTCCTGTGAAAAACGAATCAGAAAAAAAAGAAATGAAACAGTGCATTATTTATGCATCTGAAGGAGCACGCTAAAACAAATATTGGCTTATGTATTTCAGAGTCATTGACATACACTCACAATAAAGTGATTAACAACCAACTAACAACACAAAAATACAAACCTCAGCTATTAATTATTAATTGGAGGCTAAGCACAAAAAAGTGATGGAGTTTGGCAATGTCTAGTTCCCATACCAATGAATGATAGCGAGAAAGGATGTCTAGTTCCCATTCCCGTTTAGCTCGTGTGATTGCAATCTGTCTAGGTAGGAACCTCTCCAGAAGTGAATCCCAATCACTGAGATATACATAAGCATAAATCTCAGACAATTAAACTCACGAGTTTAAACTTAAAAAAGTGTCAACTGTCAAGCCTACTCAATGGGGCAAAAATCATTAGAAAAAGGTGCTGAAATAAATCAAGTCAAGCTAAATGCTATTGCAGGAAATTTATGTTTTGCAGTCACATACGTGCAAGACTCAGGTGCTCTAACAAATCCAATTTCAGCCAGGATTTGCAATGCAGACAATTGGGCAGCATCATCTCTTCCAACAGGATAATTACCCAAGATATAATCATGCTGCAACTGTAACAACAAATCACAATAATCAACAAATATAGAATTTGAAGATAAATGCTTAATGCACAAACTAGATATGCTTCATTGATTTTAAAAATAAACATTCATGTTGTTTTTTCATTTTTTTTAACTCGGAAAGCAAATAATCAGCCTCTAGAGACATTAACAAAATTCCAAGAGTTTAAATGAAAAACCATACTTGTACATAGCACAATTGCACAAACATAGGATCTGTGACAGCTTCATCTGACTCCCGGAATAGCCTTTTTTTAAATATAAGTTTACATTGCAAGATCTCTCCTTTGCTTCGATCTTTTGCTGCCTTAAATTCTGCTAAGATGTCTCCAATATATTTATTATCATCCAATCCAATGTACTCCTCTGAGTGCCAGCAAAAGGATAGTTATACAATTCATTCCAATTAGTTAAAAAAAAATAAAACAATCAACAAGTGGAAAAGAGACATGCCATTTCCAGAATCCGGTGATTTGGAGCCAGTGACAACTTTACGGCATTCAAACAGACTGAAGCTATTGTACGTCGATAGTTTAATGATTCCTGCAAGTTCCTGAAGCAAATTTTGTATTAGAAATAAAAATAAGGACTTAAAGTTCAAAAGCACATGCATGTGATTGAGTGTCTAAAATAATTCAAATAAAAGTCCTACATGCTGTACCTACAACATCATTACTAAACCCATACAACCTCTATTTAAATGGTAAACCTAACTTACCAAATATGTCATTCATTGAAAAGAAAAGGAAACATACGAATCTTGATTTCAACATTTCGCAATATTGGATGACGTGACACAAGGAAAAGACACTGATGAGAACTTGTCGTGAATGCCTCAAATAAACGAAGTTGCCACTAATGGAGTATAGTGGGAAACTTGGATCAAATTCCCCCAGCGAGTTGGAATTGAATCAAGCTAGAATGATGTTCAAAATGTGATAAACAACAGCCAACAGGATTTGGTTGAATTATCCAAGTTGTCACTAAAATAAAACTATTCTAATGTTTGTGAATCCTCCAAATCCATAAGTGAAATGTAAATGAATTGGAGTTTGTATTCAATGAATGTGGGATCCTTAGGGGTGAGAGTTGAAGCCTATCCTAGCCAAATTAAATTGCCAAGTCACCTCAATTCATTGGTCAAAGGAGCTTAAAGAATCACTTAAACTTGATTAAAAAGCTTTCCAAAAATTCCTAGTATCCTAGGTGATTAATGGTAGTTCTATTTAGACACATCAAGAAGAAACAAGGAAAGCAGCAAGGATAAGCCTTAAAATCAGAAAAATGCCGATGTGATGTTAATTTTCAACATCAGATTATTTAGTAAATCCAAAAAAACGGTAAGCAAATGCTTAAGTGATAGGACCATGAAGATAAGCAGAGCATGTCAATAAAAATAGATTAAGGTAGAATCCAAAGCAAGAGGATCCTCCTATTAAAAAGTTTTTTTAATTACCATTATACGTTATGAAGCAATACACATTAGCTGAAACCCGTTTACAAATTAGTACCACTATCATTCTGTCTGCTTTTCCCTTACAAACTTGGGAGTGTTGATTATTAATATTCATCTAAAAGTAATTCCATGTAGCTACCTCAAGCTTAGCGTATTGATTTTCTTTGTTATCTTGAAATTAACCAAAACTGATTTTATTTGTTAGATTGAACATAATCTTTAAATAACTATGCATTCACCTAGCCCTTCCTAATTATTTACTTGTGCCATACATAGTCTCCTAATTGTTTATTTTTCCTTTCTGGATTTTTTATTATTGCATAGTATTTAATAAATTTGTAAATGCAAGCAAGTCCAAGTAAAAAAAAAACGTACCTCAACAGCATCAGCAATGGTTGTTGCCATGTCATAAGTGATTTCTTCAAAAGTTTCATCCAAAAAGAACACTATAGTTGTGAGCTTTCTTCCGGTTAGCAAAGCTTCAATCTCCTCACGCCCAGGCATAATATGCCTAGGACCAGCTTTGACAGAACGTTTCAAAGCATTTAATGTATTTAGTGCTATGGCTTGGATTTCAGCATCAGTGGTCACATTATGGGCAACATTATGAACATATTCAGACAAATATCCTCCAATGTCTTTACTGGGTGGCATAGAGGATGCACATAAATACATCAGCTCCCATGCTTTAATCAAGTATTGCCTGTTTCAAGATAACAAAGGCTTGAACATCATGCACATATACCTGGGCTATTACAGCTTCAATAACTCTAACTGTAAGTCCAGCCAACATGAAGATTAACAGTAAATGGAACATACGCATACCTCTCAGGGTTGTTTCTAGTTTGTTTCGATATTTGAACAAAAAGTTCATCTCGGAGTTCTGAACGCTTTAAACTGTGCTTGTATAGTTTACCTACAAGCTCAACCCTTTCATCTAAACTTATTGGATTTACTCGTTCTGGAGAATCTACTCCCATATACTTCAAAATTATCTGAAATAGTTTAGTTGCCCGGCTTACCATATCACCATTTATCTTAAGCAATGATGTTGGTATAGGATCCTGCAAAAATTTGTGAGTTAGCGCTTATGTGTTAAGAAATTCTGACCACATATTTTGATGAAATTGGTCTTTTACTACCTTTTGGAAACACAACATGTCTTCAAATGTAAACTTCTCTCGAGCTTGAGGGCCTATAGATCTTTTAGAAAAAAATCCACGTTTCCCAGCAGAATTAATTTGTTTTTGCATTAATCTTAGAAACCCTTCAACCTGTCACAAACAACATTAAGAAAAACTTAGTGATAATATATGAAGACAAGAGCAAACAGCAAAGATCACGATGACATATAATGCATATCTAAACTAGCATATACATTATCCTACCTGGAATCTATCCATCAAGGGCACGGCGCCAGCAAGTTCTGCCGGAATAGCCATTGTTAGAGTTGAAGGTGTTCTGCAAGAGCAACCGGGGGGGGGGGGGGAGCAAATACTAAGTCACACACCGGACACAACAATAATAATCACTATTTAAATAAATTCTGACATATCTTCAAAAGAAAGAATGATACTGACGGGGGTGCAAAATTGGAACTATCACTGTCGTAATCATCACCATTGCTAACACCAGCATGATTGTGAACAGGGGTATCATCGTAACCATTACTAGAACTAAAGGAAGGTCTGTTTGTCCTCGTACTTTGGGCCATAGGCGATGGCATATCAATGGTCATTTTGCTGAATTCAGCTGATGAACTGAATTTTATAGTCTGCCTCAATAACAAATTTGGCTCATGTCTACTCCACTGCATGATTAAGAAAAATGAAACATAAGTAAATAAATAACAAAAGGAAATAACAAAACCCAAAAAATTGCAGCAACTTTTAACTACGGAAAAATCTGAAACAGACATTAGAAAAAAAAAATGATAATTCGCTTCTGAGGAGTTAATATATTGTCCGCCTAAACAATCCCTCTAAACCCCAACTAAGAGAAACAAAAACCTATGAACCGTCGAAGTAATAAGAAAGAATGTAATTGAAGAAAGCTACAAACTGAAACGTATAGGCAATCCACAGGACTAAGACCCAGCCATTAACTAAAACATAGATGATCAACGGACATAAACCCATAAATCTAAGAGCGAAAACGCAGGACTAACAAGCACGAGATCGGCAAAACTAGGAAGTCTTTAATAGGGAAGACACTTCAATGGACTTGACCATTGACACGGCAACACCCAGTTGCAGCATTAGGCCTGCGCTTTGAACATCCTCAAGAAAACTAGGAATCGAGTCAACTGATAACCGAAGGATCGGGAAAACAATGTGAAATGAAAGAGCAAAGGGTAAAAATCTCACCTTTTAAGCGGAAACGAAAAGAATGTGCAGAATAACAGTGCCTGAAATAGTGATAAGCAAAGAGGTGAAGAAAGAGATCTGGGGGTGAAGGCAGGTCAATGGAAGTCCAAATCGTTAGAAGGAGGGAAAGGAGAAGATAGAGGAAGCGAGAGAAGCGTGAGGGAAAAGGGACAGAGAAAGGTCACGAGAGGATTATAAATGCCAAGGGCAGCTGATTTGCTTTTTCAGCGAAGGAAAATGGAAGATTGAATGAGAAAGAACAAAAGAAGAGAGAAGATGCATCAACAAACATAACATACGCAAATGGCATTTGGATCTCTCATGTCCCGTACCACACCGTTTTTTTCAAACGGAAAATATTAATTGAAAATCAGTATTCCAAGTTGAAGCACACAGGCCTGTGATACGGCCAAATCGTCGTTTTTAATTTTTAAAATTTGAAATCTCCAGTGCCCGAAGAAAAGCTACAGCTCTCCCTACTCCCTACGGTTAAGTCACCACGAATTTCATATATTACTATGTTGTTATACATTATTATGCGACTCCCACTAAGTGGGGAAAAAAATACACATTATATATCACTTCCTTTATTAAAAAATATAAAATATTTTTAATTAAATTTTATTATTTAATAAAATAATTATTTATTTTTAAATTAACTATATTTTTTATATTTACTCTTATTTAATAGTATATTTTATTTTAAAATAAATATAAAGTGATTTATTTAATAAAGACACTTTTAAAAGAATTAATGATTATACTTTAAAAAAATTAAAAATACCTTACATTTTTTAATATCTAACTTCTCAAAAAATATCTTACATTTTTTAATAGGGAGTATATATTATTGTAATCACAATTTTCAAATTTTATTTAACATATAGATATATAGGGATTACATTATACTAGTTAAATTGGTATGATTATTTACAGTTGAATCATCATCAATCAATTAATATATATATATATATAAAAAAATAAATTTTATTAATTATTCATTAATCTTTTTGTTTTTGTGAGTACAAGAGGTAAGCTTCTAACCACCACCTTAAATAACATCTCACTACTGACATCAATTTTAATTTGATTAGGTTATGATATATCATAACTATTGTAAATTAAATTAAGTGTTAGTGAAGGAATGAATTTGGGAATTGATAAAAGAAGGGGCTAAATTGCAAATAGAGCTCGAGAGAGGGGGCAAATTTATTTAAAACATTATTAAAAATCGAAAAAACATAACTTTATGTCTCTGCATTTTATTCGTATTTTATTATTAATCTTTATATTTTTTCTATATTTTAAATTTTTATACTTTTATTTTTTATTATTTTATGTTTTTCCATGGACCTAAAATATAGAAAAAAAAATGCAAGGATTAAAAATAAAATATAAATAAAATAAAAAAATTTAAAATTATGTTTTTCTTGAGAAATGAAAGCTAAAGACTCTATAGGGCATTGGAGGGTTGAAGTCCCATAAATTGGTTCCTACCCAAGAAATAAAGAATAATTTGGGGGAACAAAGTGAATGATGATGAGGAAATAATTTGAAAGAGGGAGGGAAGGTGTGGTGGGACCCACAGAGGAGAGAGCAAGTATTGGTGTCCTGAACTTGCAGCCGAAGGCAGTGTTGGCCTCTTGCCGGTAGCGATGCTTCCCATGTTACCTTTCCCACTACGCTTGGCCCCCACCCCGCCCCTTCATTTTTACCTTCTTACCATATTACTCAAATCTTACTGCTCTCTTTTTAAACTATTTTTTTTTACAATATTTTTTTTAAATTATCCACGTGTTTCCTCCTACCAAAGCCAATCATATTCAAAATACTGCAAAATATTAAATGTAAGAAAATTTCTAAAAAAAAAATCTAAACCTAGAATCGTTGTATCGCAAGATATTATTAATTTATTTTACTAAACTTAACCATATTAATTTTTGGATGATATTGTATTGTGACAACAGATAGTTAGAGTAAATTCTAACAAATGGATTCAAAAAACAAACCCGACACAGGAAGAGGCCATTGTTTGCACTTATATTGCATTTCCTTGTGAGTTTGATCCAATGCATTTCTAGTAGTTTTTCTAAAAATAGACTGACTTTGATTTTAGAATATAAAAATGATTGGATTAATGTGCTAGCGCTTACGAATGCTTGGTCAACATTTTTTATTAGTTAGATTAACGTGTTAGGGCTTGAGAACTACGCAAATAATTCATAAAATAAAAAAAATTAAATTAAAAGTACATATAAAGTTGTGAAATAAAAATTCATGTTTACAGAATATTTGAGTTAGTGGTAATGATATTTTTTGAGTTTGACATGCTCTATTCTAAACAGAAAATTTTGGAAATAGCATTTTCATCTTACTCCAAAAATAATAATAATCAAAGATTAAAATATGCATATCACTTAATGATGAGAAGCACCGGCCATGATCATCCATTCAACAAATGTAACTACCTCTCTGTCCGCTTTTGACTTCTCTTCTAAAGTTTCACTCTTTTAGTTTTAGTCTTTAGATCCTGCGGGGCTGGAAGAGAGTTTTAATTGATTTTTTTATATATCAAATGAATTTTGAAGGAAAAAAAATAGTAACCACGCCAGTATTAATTAATAAATAGTAATGCAAATTAAGAGCAGCGATATCTGTTCGACATATTTTTTGTATCGCAGAGTATATGCACATTTTGACGTCACTGAGTCATATTTTAAACATTCCTTATCAGTTACGAGAGATTCTCCTATTATTTGACCAACATAATCTGGTCTTGGCCTTTTCTGTGCCGTTTTTAGGGGAATAAAAACGGAACTGATTGCTAATTTTCCTTCCAGCTGGCAAAGGAAAAGTCTTCTATGATTGCATCTCAGAATTTTGTGCAAGATATCGAATTAATGTAAAAATTATGTTTTTTTTTTTTTGCATCACACAAATTATGAAACAAATTGAAATGCTGGTGACTTATGAATAGTGGTGGGAATCAATGCTCTCACGTAAGAAGTGCAATCCAATTCGATGAAATTAATAATAAAGAACAAAGTATAATAATTTTTTCAGAAACAAGAAAATCAATCAAATACCTCACAATTGTTTTGTACATGATTTTATGTTCTGAAGTTGTTCCGCGTGAAATAAAGAGCAAATAAATACAAGAAGTCATCATGAAAAATCGGAGTCGATTTTGAAAATAGCAAAATAAATAGTGATTTTTGACGCGGTGGGTTCAAAATGCCTGATCGGAGTCTATTTATCTTGAATTGAGTTTAGCGCATGTCCTAAATAAATCATTGAACTCAAGTATATTTAGATTTGAGCCAGAGGTCGATGGAGTACGTGGTTTCTGACAATGGAGTACTGGGGCCGATGGTGCAAAACAATGAAACATTCAATCTCACATCATGCACTTTTAATTTTAGCCAGAGTGTCTCCATTTCAAGTGGCTCCACCGCCAGTACTCATGTCTCAATTTTGATAGATACTGATCAGTCAAGTCATCAATTTGGTTAGTATATGAATTGCGATGATCAAATTTCAACGGAAGGGAACATATTAAATTTTAAAATTGCAATAAAAATAATTCCTTAAATTATAAAAATAAAAGCCAGAAGTAATTAGTCAGAGAAAACAAAGTAAGTTATTTAAAATAGAACCAGTAACAAGCAGGCGCATATCTAATGAGGGCAAACGCCACATTAGTTTAGAAGAGTATCGGAACTTATTGCGTTATTTTATTTCAAATTTTTTAAACTCGCGAGGATCCAAGTAAATAATTGACTAATTGTTGGTGGCGTTGCCAGCTGCTACTGGGTTAAACATATGTAGCCAGCAATATACATAATTTTACGCGCAAATATGGGACTCGTTCAGAATAGAAAGAGTCAGATATTGTTATATTAATATACCAGTAACTATAAATAGTTATTATAATTATAATTTAATCATTAAATTAATCGCCGACGTCGCCGGCTCGGGCCTGTACTGTATGTGTATGTTGAAACCGAAAACTACAAACAACAAAAAATAAAGAAACGTTCCTGCTTACCATTTGCCAATAATAATAATAAAAAGAGAATAAACTTCGTATGTATGGATTTGGCGAGAGAAGAGAAGAAGAAGTGAAGAAGCACGAGTTTACAATTAATGTGAGTCACGAGAATGCCCTCTTTGCTGAGTTTTTCATTTACGCCCCACGCTTTCATTTCTTCCCGAGCGTGAAACGCGACCCGCAACTTACAATATCTCTTCCTATTTCAGTATTAAATTAAATTATATGTGACAATTGAAAATTTCAGATATCGGGAGAAAAAAAAAAAGATCATTAACCAGAAATGAAGGTGAAGTGTGGAAGGAAAGGAAGGGTACGTGGAAGCATTTAAGAGAGGCATGAGAAAGATGAGCACCGTTCTTTATTTTCTCGTCATTTGAGTGGACCCATTTCAAATTTTCAATTTCTAATTTTATTTTTTTAAATTACCATGGCAAACTAGAGCTTTAGAGAATTAACTATAGGCCTAATTTAACAAAAATTAAGAATAGCCTTGTCTCTGGTCTTTATGAACACAATAATGTGAGATTAGGAGATGTCTTATGAGCAGGTTTATGGAGATTACAACAATTATACTGATTGACTTGCTGGTCTTACCTATGACCGTGCACATTCCCCAAAAGGTTAGCCACCCTGACTTATCCAATCCACCTCAACATATATATCATTTTTCATTTTTGTTATTTTTTGTAAATAATATTTATTTTGTTGTATTGTTTTTTTGTTAAGAGTTATCATGAACTATATTTTTAAATATTTTTTATCATTGCAATTTTTTAAATCCCTTTCAAAATTTAAAATTTATTTTTAACTTAATATTGTGAATTGATCACAATTGTTGATCATATGCAAGATATTAATGAATCAGGATTTGCATAATGGTCTTATAGTCTTTGACATTTAATTGTTGGGTCATTGCCTTTCTTTGTATTCATTTTAAAAAAAACTAGGAAAATTGACTGCATAAATCTTTTGACGTCTAACATATAACGAGTTTAATGTTCTTTATGCTTATTCTCTTATATATGTGTACATATACATACATACTTCTTTTGTGGTTGTTTGCTAGAGAGGTAAAGCGAAATTTTTGTCAGGCAAAACAAATATATAATTGTAAATATGAATTTCTGGGTTCTGTGTTCCGTTGGTTGCAAGAGAATGTTGTTAGAGTCTAGAGAGAGAAAGTGAAGAAAAATGGATAAAAAAATAGAAGCAAGTTTGGAGGTTTTAAAAAAGTGGCTGGGGGTTAACAGAAATGATGGTAATTG